GTACATATACATTATGGAATATTACTCAGCTATTAAAAAGAATGCATTTGAATCAGTTGTAATAAGGTGGATGAAACTGGAGCCTATTATATAGAGTGAAGTAAGCCAGAAAGAAAAGCACCAATACAGTATATTAATGCATCTATATGGAATTTAGAAAGGTGGTAACTGATGCTGGGAGGGATTGAGGGCAGAAGGAGAAGGGGACGACAGAGGATGAGATGGCTGGATGGCATCCCCAACTCAATGGGCATGAGTTTGAGTAAACTCTGGGAGCTGGTGATGGACAGGGAGGCCTGGTGGGCTGTGGTTCATGGGGCCACAAAGAGTCGGACATGACTGAGCGACTGAACTGAAGTGAACTGAACTGAATGATGACTCTATATGCAAGACTGCAAAAGAGACACGGATGTAAAGAACAGACTTTTGGACTCTGTGGGAGAAGGCAAGGGTGGGACAATTTGAGAGAATAGCATTGAAACATGTATATTATTATATGTGAAACAAATCACCAGTCCAGGTTCAATGCATGAGACAGGGTGCTCAGGGCTGGTGCACTGGGATGACCCAGAGGGATGCTATGGGGAGGGAGGTGGGAGGGGGTTCAGGACAGGGGACACATGTACACCCATGGCTGATTCATGTGAATAATGGCAAAAATCACTACAATGTTGTAAATTAGTTAGCCTCCAATTAAATAAATAAATTTTAAAAATTAAGTTGCAACAGAATTCAAACATAAAGAATGAACAAAATGAAATTAATTAATTAATTAATTAATTTACAAAAAAGAAAAAAGAGGAGCTTCCCATATTTATAGGGCTAAACATATCCATAGCTCAAATAAAAGAGAAAATAAAAAGGGGATTTCAGGAGAGAGTGTAGCATCTCTCGGTGTTTCTCTAAGTGTAACCTCCTGCAAGCCCCACAGGGAGTGAGGGGCTCTGGGCTGGGCCACCGGGCAGAACTGTATTGAGTGGCTGTTCCTAAATACAAGGGAGTCTGCGAAGACAAGCATTTTCAGCTGAGCACATCATTGCCCTGAGCATAGTCCAGGTTATGTAGCAAAAAAAAAAAAAAAAAAAANAAAAAAACAACTCCTGTTTTTCATGGAAAGTCATAATATGTTTCGTTTCATGTAAAAATAACTTTTCTAAATCTACAAGTAAAATGCCTACATGTTTGTCCTGTGTCCTTCCCCACACCCACTCCTCAGGGCGTGTGTTCCTCAATTTGAGAAACTCTTAAATTCAGTGCTGAGCACTGAACTTCTAGCTTCCACAGCAGAAGGACATGCTGTGAGGACACTGCTAGGGCAGTGTCCAGTCTTACTGAAGCCTGAGTTTGCACTTTCTTGAAAGACAGGCCAGTTAGACCTGCTGGACATGTGCCGACAGAGCACAGCTCTCCTCTGCACCCAAGAACTTGGAGCTCTGCCTCCTAATCACAGTCGCTTTGGCTAATGTGCTATTGGCTGGGGAGTCCTTGAGTGAATATTGGAAATAATCACTGGCCTGGTCACCTGATAATGTAGGAGGATCAGGGGGCTCCTGGGGTCTGTTTCTTCCCAAGCTCCATGGGCAATGCCCAAGAAACAGACATGCTCACAGGTCGTCAAGCCAAGGGTCAAACAAGCCAGCCTGCAGCAGCGGCCTCTGCAGAGGCCTCCTTAGTTCCCACCTCTTTATCCACATATCCTGTAAGAAGAGAGACTGTGTTCCTCCCATCTACATTCCTCACTAGACGTGTCTACATCAAAACTTCTTCCCCTTTACCCAAGGCTAAAGTTTTCAAACACCCATTTTCTGTACTGGTGATGATAGAAAACCATGGATTTTGAAGAGAGGTGTCAATGGATAAACATTCTTTTACACTGTTACACAGAATATTCTGGAGATGGTAAGTGAATGCTGGGGTGGGTTGTGAGGTGCTCAGTGAGGAGATGCAGTGTCTATGCCCCTCCCCGGGCACATTCTCAGTGGGTACCTTCTAGAGGAAGCAGACTTATTTAACTGCATCAGGCCCTGAGTCTCCTAAACACATATGCATGTAGAACTGGCTCTCATCCCTCACCTGTTAACCACAAAAAGGTGTTGTTTCCTACAAGGGGGTTTGAGGAGATGCACCCCAAACAGACTGACCTATGGACAGTCACCCAGTGGCAATCATTTCTCACCAGGACTATCAGAAAACTTCCTTGTCTCATCTCCCTGCACCCATTGGGCTTCCCTCCTTCCACAGTGAACAATGTAGCCACAATGAGCTGATCAGGACATAAACTGATTATACTTTACACACAAACACACATACAGAAAGGCTCCTTTTTTAAAAAAAAATTGACAAGCAATTGACATATTAAAGTAGTTTCAGATGTACAATATGATGATTTGATATTTGTATATATTGTGAAATGGTCAGCACAGTAAGTGTAGTTAATATCCAGTCATCATACATAGTTACAAAAAACTTTTTTGTGGTGAGAACTTTCAAGATTTACTCTCTTAGCAACTTTTGAATGTACAATACAGTATCATCAACTTAGTCACTGTGCTGTGCATCACATCCCCAGGGCTTATTTTATAACTATCTTTTGGTGTATCTTTTGACTCCACCTATTTCACCAGCTTCCTCCCTTACCCCTACTTACAGCTCTGGCAACCACCAACCTTTCTCTGTATCTGAAACTCAGTTTTTGTCTGTT